TGCCATTGCCTTCTCCAACACACAAGCAAACCCTGCATCAAATTAGTTTTAAAAATTCTAGGACCTCCCTGGTGACCCAGTGGCTAAGACTCCGTGCTCCCAATGCAGGGGGCCCAGGTTAAATCCCTTGTCAGGAAACTAGATCCCACCTGCCACAACCAAGAGATCCCACATGCTGCAATGAAGACCTGGTGCCGCCAAATAAATACATAAATAACTATTAAAAGTCTTTTCTTACAGTACTTTCAGGGCCTTTATTCTGTTAGTCTGCAGTGTGGATTTTCTAGGGCAATGCTGTCTAAGATATGACCACAAATGCCAGCCATATGCATAATTTAAAACCTTATATTAATCAAAATAGAAAACCTACAAAGAAATTGGTGAAATTAATTTTAATAGTATATTTAACCTAATATATCCAAAATATTATTATTTCAATGTATAATCTATGTAAGAAAGCTACTCCTGAGACATTTTATTCTTTTTTTTTTTTTTGACTAAGTTGTCAAAACCCAGTGATTGCATCCCATCTCCATTCAGAACAGACACATTTTAAACACTCAAGAGCCACATGTATCTGGGGACCAAGATGGCACAGTCAGAGGGTCAGAGTATGAGCATTTCTGTAATGACTATGACACAGAACAGTTATTTCACTTATCACAGGACTAGTGTTCCATGGAAAATTCTTTGAGCTGCATTCCTCTACATTTAATTTGAAAAAAAAATTTACAAAAAGGTTGATTCCACAAACACATTTTGTGTTTGTCAAAGATACCCATAGTGGTTCGAGTAAACTCTGCTTTCTCTAAGTTATTTGTCAAAAGATTTCTCAAACCATAGATAAGTCTTTGGTGTATCTCCAATTTCAATATTCTAAAGCTTCCAATCCTGTGTTCAAGAATCTTAAAGTCTGCAAACCCCAAATCAAACTCAAGCAAAGCAGAACAACAACAAAAAACCAAAAACCTGAGATGAAAAGGAGAGATGGGTACAGATAGAAATATTGATTTGGAAGTCAGACTTCTGGCTTATTTTTCCTAAATTCTTTACTTTGTGTGATCTTAGTCATCTTACTTTTCCCTCCAGAAGCTCAGTTACTTCATTTATGAAATGGAGAGTTTTGAAATAAACTATCTCTGAGGTCTACACCAGCTCTAACATCTACATTCTGATTTGTGGCTTTAGGAACAATAAATAGCCCCTAATTATAGATCTCCTGCTCATGAGAAAAACTAGAAACAAAAATAATGTTTTACTACAGTGATAAGAACATAATTAGTAGTTCAGAAAATGAAATTCACTATAGATTTTTAGTAGGCCAAAAAAAGCACTAAAATAATTTGATTCTATTTATTAAGAGGTTTCTAATCTTCTTACTCACTTTCCCCTAACTATTTCAGTGTTTGATTACAAAAAGATCTATATTTATATATAAATCATCTATATTTATAACAAATTGAGTCAGAAGTCTAGAGACCCTTTGACTTCAGAGGTGAAGGGCCGAGGTGGAGAACTGTGCCTGTAAACTTTGCTCTTGACTTCTTTCAAAGAGTTAAATGATTACTAACAGGGTAATTCAAGTAGTTTCTACAATCAAGTAATTTTATGTTCATCACTGGCACCAGTATTCTTCCCGATTCTACTGCTCACTCATCTTCTTAACAGTATTCTAGACTGGTAACCATACTCTGCTTCTAACACTCTCCTAACTTGAAACAGATAACCGCACTGCTCTGCTTCTCTCCTCTTTCTGAATACTATTGTCTGCCTCCCCTTGGCTGAGCCCATTTCCTCTAAAGTTCCAAGCCTCATATCTCACTTGGGGGATATATCTTGGATTCACAGTTTGTTCAACAACTACTTGTAAATTCACATTTCTATTTGCAATAATAATAATAATAATAATCCTTATTTCATTCTTAATATTAATTTCCCTTTAAACACCTTTGCAAGTACTTCTTGCCATAATCTCACATGTATCTAAAATTTCGAACATTTGTTTGTCCTACTCCTAACTTCTCTAGTTTGTTGTTGTTGCTGTCTAGATGCTCAGTCAAGTCCAACTCTTTGTGACCCTGTGAACCATAGACCACCAGGCTCCTCTGTCCATGGGATTCTCCAGGCAAAAAAACTGTAGTGGGCTGCCATTTCCTTCTCTAGGGGCTCTTCCCCACCCAGGGATCAAACCTGTGTCTCCTGCATCGGCAGGCAGATTCTTTACCACTGAGTCACCTGGGAAGCTGACTTACCTAGTACTTTTAACCAAATAATTAGAATCATTCTTGATGTACCCCTTTCCTTATTTTCTCCCATTTGACCTGAAAACATTTCCCAGTGTCTCATGCTTCCTGTTTGCCTCAGAGCCTATGTTGTCCTTCCTCCTGAGCACCACAATCCTTGGGATCTCACCCCCACGCACGTAGGCTACTATAGTGACTTTGTCTCCATTTCCTCTCCCTTCTGCATTGTGGCTCCACTGGAGTGTTTCTACTCCTAAGTAAGCTGTCTTAAATTACTACTCTTTATACACCACCTGCCCAATGGAAATATATTGTTTTCTCCCAGTGGCCAGAAGAATGTATTTAAACCTTGCATCTTAACATTCAAAATTCTCTTCTCCTCCCTCCCCAATTGTATTCTTTTCTTAAATTCTTCTTCTGATCTCCTCTAAGACAAACGTGCTGCTCCTAGAAGATCTTGGTCACGTCCCTGTGGTTGTTCATACACTTTCTCCATTTGAAAGACTTTTCCTTCTTTTCAAGGTTCTCTTCCTTCATGCAGGGAACTCAGCTCTTAGGCTTCTGTGGCCTAGCATGTCTTTAGGAATCAGTATGACTCTGTGTTACCCTCATTCTCATAAGCAAACCCATGACTGGGACAAGTGTTGTCTTCATTTTATAGCTGTCGACTCAAAGCTCTAAATCAGATAAGCAAAAGTGAGGAGTGGCCCCATTATTAAGTCACTACTTTTTATACCCATCAGAGGTACTTCATCATTTTCACCACTAGACTTTTTTTTTTTTATGGTTTATTTTATTTTTCAGACAGGACAAAGTTCCCAAAGATGTCACCTGTGACCTCATTGTAGGATGTGATGGAGCCTTTTCCACTGTTAGAACTCACCTCATGAAGAAACCCCGCTTTGATTACAGTCAACAATACATTCCTCATGGGTACATGGAGCTGAGTATTCCACCTAAGAATGGGGATGTAAGTCCTTCCCCTTTCTTTTCTCCTTCCTACAACTCTCCCCCTCCCCCTGCCCCATATTAGTATTGAAGTGTATTCTAGTGCAGTTGTTCTCAGCAGCATGTCTTGATCCGTTTTAAGGTCTGCCAAAGTACTATGTATTCAATAACGCATAATAAATTGGATGTACAGGTGTCCTTTTAATAATATCACTCTCACTCCCTTACCTTTCAATATGTTTTCTTGAATACGGAAGAAAGGAAAGGAATTACAACTACCTTTTTCTATTATATCTTGGGAAAAAAATTTAAAAAAAAACAGGTTGGGAATCAACTTTGTGTACTGACAGTCCAGAGTTATTATACTCATGATTAAATTTAAAAAGTTATTAAATAAAGTGAACAGTGAGTTGTTGCAAAGAGACTTGCACTGCATGTTTCTTATTTCCTGAAGTCCATGTTAAACCAAACATGGCTGGAGGCAAATACGTAGTATGTGTATGTGTGTTGAGGAAATTTAAAATACCAACAGAAGAAATCAGGATCTTGGCTTATAAGTAATAAAAGGTACACAGTGTTAGTTAAATACTTGATTTGCATGTAAAACATACATTTTAAGGTACTGATTTAACCTGTCCTATTTGAAATTCAAACATTTAGTCTGTTTGGGATAGCAGTATTATATACCACTTTTATGGGCTTCCCAGGTGACTCAGTGGTAAAGAATCTGCCAATGCAGGAGATACGGGTTTGATCCCTGGGTGGGGAAGATCCTCTGGAGGAGGAAATGACAACCCACTCCAGTATCCTTGCGAAGACAATTCTATGGACAAAGGAGCCTGGTGGGCTACAGTCTATGAGGTCACAAACAGTTTGACATGACTGAATGACTAACACTTCTAACACCCGGAGAATTAAGTGGGAGCTCATCTTTAAGCAATTTTTTCACAGCAAGCAAACTGTCTTTGCTTAAACTTTATGTTTGGAGGGACTTGCAGTGATCTAAATAGCTGTGGAAACAAGTATAACATAAACAGAGTCGTTGTGCCTTATTTGTTAATGCAGATGAGCTGCATTAATTCACTAATTATATATATATTTTTTCCCCTGCAGTATGCCATGGAACCTAATTATCTACATATTTGGCCTAGGGATACCTTTATGATGATTGCACTTCCTAACACGGTAGTGTAAAATTTTTTATTAACTGTCATTTTGCCTATATGATTAATGTTTTTTGTTACTTACTTTTATTTGCTATATGCCTGTATGTAGTCAACTTCATCATTGTCTAGTCTGTTTAAAGATTATATCTGAAACTTTGGGGATATTGAAGAAAAACCTGAAGGAATACAAGCTATTTACTTTGGAAAGGATATTTAACATATATAAATGACTAATGGGGGGTTGTGTGTGGTGGTACCTGACCTCCACCTCCCCCAAGGCAGTGCAGGAGGAAACTGCCCCCAAATAAAGCCAAAGATATTTAGGTTATATATTAGGAAGTATTTCTCATCCTTTAAGGTCTGTAGGACATTTGAATATTCATTATTAAAAAGGAGCATGGCTGTTCTTTCATTAGACCTTAGAGACTTTTTTGCTATCAGTCTTGGGTGTTCATTGGAAGGACTGATGTTGAAGCTGAAACTCCAATACTTTGGCCACCTGATGTGAAGAGCTGACTCATTGGAAAAGACCCTGATGCTGGGAAAGATTGAAGGCGGGAGGAAAAGGGGACAACAGAGGATGAGATGGTTGGATGGCATCACCGACTCAATGGACATGGGTTTGGTTGGACTTCGGGAGTCGGTGATGGACAGGGAGGCCTGGCGTGCTGCGGTACGTGGGGTTGCAACAAGTTGGACATGACTGAGCGAATGAACTGAACTGAACTGAACAGAATATATACATATATAGAGATTCCCATGTGGCTCAGTGGTGAAGAATCCAACTGCAGTGCAAGAGATGCGAATTCAATCCCTGGGTCGGGAAGATCCCCTGGGGAAGGAAATGGCAATCCCCTCCAGTATTCTTGCCTGGGAAATCTCATGGACAGAGGAACCTGACGGGCTATTAATCCATGGGGTCACTAAAGACTTGGACATGACTTAGTGACTAAACAACAACAATCTCTCTATATAATATAGACATATATACCTATTTATATTTCTCTGTTGGTCTTTTATTTACCCTTTTTTTTTTCCTTTCTCTTGTCAAGAATCCTGGGATCCAAGGCCCTAATGTCATAGTGTCTTAAATGGAATAACAGTAAAGAAAAAAAAAAAGGAGAATTCAAATCCAAAGCACCTATTAATAGTATAAGGAGTGCAGTGTTTGCTTGGTGAAAATATCTGGAGTTTACAGTATAGAAAGCTTCCTAATAACCAAGAAGCAGGGGTGCACCTGGGGACCCCGGGCCGAGCTTTTCCCGGGGAGTGAGGGAAGAAAGTGAGGGTGCTTCTCCTGTCTGCTTGGACCCTCCTCCCAGGGTCCCCTGAGCCACAGCAAGCACTCTGAGACCGAAGGATCTATCTTAGGGCCAGCATTGCCTGACCCCCAATCTCTCACGCACTGTTCCTCTTCTCATCACAGAACAAATCTTTCACGTGTACTTTGTTCATGCCTTTTGAAGAGTTTGAAAAACTGCTAACTGGTAGTGATGTGCTGGACTTCTTCCAGAAGTACTTTCCGGATTCCATCCCTCTAATTGGAAAGTAAGTTTCAAGATGTCCAATTGTGCCTTTTGCCCCCTTGGTTTGAAGTATTCAAAATTCAGATAAAGGCTAATGCACCTTATTTCAGCTTTTGTTAAAAATGACCTGTAATGCAGTGACCTGGGCGGAAAGCCTGCATGTGTGCTAATTCACTTCCGTCATGTCTGACTCTGCGACCCCATAGACTGTGGCCCGCCAGGCTCCTCTCTCCACAGGGTTTCTCCAGGCGAGAATACTGGAGTGGGTTGCCATGCCCTCCTCCAGGGAATCTTCCCGATCATGCAGTGACCTGGATGGGAAACCTAGATTACAGCAAAAGTCCAAGAGGGTCTTATGCTGCAAACAGGAATTCTGAAAAAACCCAGGCCCGGCCAGTTTCTCTGGGAAAGACAAACCACCAGTGTCCCTGGGCCTTTTATGTTCTCTGTGCAGGTGCTCGGGCCCCATAGGTCTTGGTATGCAGCAGAGCTTGGCTGTGCTCCCTCCTGCTGGTGGGAACACAAATCTGTATGATGGACCCTCAAGTCTCAGGTCCACCAGTTGCTAGCTATATAAGCTTTCCTATGTCTCATACCCTTCACAGTAAAATGCTGATGATAGTTATACCTGCCCCAAAGGGTTGTTGTGTGGAGTAAAGGGAATAATGCCTATAAACCATTCAGCACAGGGCCAGGCATGTATAAATTTTCCCACACTGATAGCTAATTGTCCCAGCTGCCTGGTTTCTGAGTCTTAGCTCCTCTGGCCCATTTCAACATCACCACCACATGGACCTTGTCATTTGGTCTCACTCACTACTTCTCTCTCCTGTCCCTCTGTCCTAGAACCTAACTCACATTTCACCTCCATTGACATCTTCATGAAGGCAGCACAATGCTGCAGAAAGAGCAAGGTTTTAACACTACACTTGTCCCTTACTTCCTTGGGGCTCAGATTTTTCATCACTAAAATAGACATCAGGATGCCTTACTTTTAGGGCAATTTTGAAAATTAAATGAGTTAATTATGTAAAAGGGATATCCCACTGCCAAGTCGTAGCAGATCTTTTTAAAAATTGTCAGTTCTCCAAAAAAATAAATAAATAAGTAAAAATTGTCAGTTCTCATCCTTTCCTGCATATCAGTTCAATTGCTATGTTGGTTTCTCCTTCTCTGGCATTGAAGGGAAATCTCTGCATGCCAAAATTTAGCCCTTAGATACTTTTGGAACTTGTTCTGTGGCTATTTCTTGCCTCTCTCACGAGATGTAAGNATAAGTTCCCAGGTGACACTAGTGGTAAAGAACTTGTCTGCCAATGCAGGAGACATAAGAGACGTGGGTTCAATCACTGGGTCAGGAAGATCTCCTGGAGGAGGAAATGGCAACCCACTCCAGTATTCTTGCCTGGAAAATTCCACAGACAGAAGAGTCTGGCAGGCTGCAGTCCATAGAGTCATGAAGAGTCAGACATGACTGAGCAAGTACACATGATAAATGTATATAGTACTTCTCTACCTATAGCACTCACAAAACCTCTGTAGATGCTTAAGCGATACTAGCTTGATTCCAATTGTTCATTTCCAGATACACATGGACTCACTTAATTTTGGTTTGTTGGGTGTTAATAAAATACACAACTGCATCTCAATCTTTTCCAAGGAAACCTGAAACATACCAACAGAGCTGAAAATTGTGTGATTTATGTGCTAGATAATGAAAATTTCCTGACATATAACACAGGCATATTTCAAATTATTCAAATTCAGCTACTCTTGTTCTTTTTGGATGTGATTAACATTGTTTCAAATTAAGAATGTAATTAGAACAATGGAATTTGGGGACTAGAAGAAACGTCAGCTCTCTCTCTCCTGTCTTCTTCCTGGCATTCTCCCGTATATTTCAATGAAATATTATGGTGACAAAGCCAGTAAATCTGAAAGAATTTAACACCCAGCTTAACATTTTTACATTTTGATTGTTTTTTTCCGAAGGCAAGCCCTGGTACAAGATTTCTTTCTGTTGCCTGCCCAGGCTATGATATCTGTTAAGTGCTCTTCTTTTCACTTTAAATCACATTGTTTGTTGATGGGAGATGCTGCCCATGCCATAGTGCCCTTTTTTGGGCAAGGAATGAATGCGGTAAGTTCTTTTTCAGTAGGTAAGTCCCTCAAACTTTTCTGGGCCCATCTCAACTAAAATAGCTTAAAGAAAAAAGAAAAGGTTAAAACTATCCCCACAAAATCTCTGTGAAAGCAATCAATTCAACAACCCCACCAGCTATTTAACTAGATTGATCTCTGTGTGTAGTCAATTCTTGGATTCTTGATCCAGATATTTAATGCATAAAAAAACATAAAGCATAAGATAGTTTTCTGTTCAGTTAGAAAATGTATTGATAACTTGAAATTTAGGAACTTGACTGTCAGAAATTCAAGGCTTAATTTTTAAAAGTATTTATTTCTTTGGCTGTGCCAGATCTTAGTTGTGAAATGCAAATTCTTAGTCATGGCATGGCATGTGAGATCTAGTTTCCTAACCAGGGATCAAACCCAAGCCTAGGAGCACATTGGGAGCATGGAGTCTTAGCCACTGGACCATTGGGGAAGTCTCCAAGACTTCATTTTTAAAGTATATTTTTTTCTTGAAATTATAATGTTAGTATCAAAAAAGAAAAATATCCCAGGGACATCCCTGATGGTCCAGTGGTTAAGACTCCACCTTCCAGTGCAGGGGGGCAAAGGCTTGATCCCTGGTCCAAGAACTAAGGTCCCACAAAACATGGGGTGCAACCAAAAATTTAAAAAGAAGAAAGAAAAATATTCCAAATTATCTTTTCTTTCTTCTTCTGTTTTTTCATTCCACAGGAAAGGAAAACACAATTAATAGAGTTAAATAAAATGATAAAACAGACTAGACATTGAATACTATTGCTTTCATGGAAATTTTACCATTCTGGCTAGAACAATATATCATAAAAGGAATACTGTTTAAATATTGAATGCTAATTTTAAGGAATTCTAAAATAATTGTCTAGACAGACAATTATTTTATGTGCATGTGTGTTTGATTACTAATATTATAGTTTTATAACCATAGTATTATATTGCTTTGGTTTATGGAATACATTCCAAGAATAAATAACTTGTGAATATAATCAATTATATTTTCATCTAATTAGTGGTAAATATTTTGTTTTACAAAACATAATGGGAGGTGGGATCAAGTTAGCAGAGTTGGAGGGCCCTGAGCTTACTTCCTCTCTTATTCAGCGACTGTCATTGAGCCAAGGAGAAGCCCTGGCTGCGCCTGGATCTGGCTTTAGTCCCTCTGAAACCAGTCCTGTCTCTCACCAAGGAGGTGGTTGCCAGCACACCCTAGGGGAAATTGTGGCCCATGCTCACTTCAAATATACTCTCCCACCAAAGCCACTAGGCACATGCAGACTGAATAGGACATCACAGAACATACCTTCAAGATCAGGACAGGTAACTTTCACATAATTTCATAGAGATGGTGAAAGCTGGAGAAGACTCTTGAGAGTCCCTGGGAGAAAAAGGAGATCCAACCAGTCAATTCTAAAGAAAATCAACCCTAAATATTCGTTGGAAGCACTGATGCTGAAGCTGAAGTTCCAATACTTTGGCCACCTGATGTGAACTGGCTCATTGGAAAAGACCCTGATCCTGGGACAGATTGAGGGTGGGAGAAGTGGGCAACAGAGAATGACATGGTTGGATGACATCATCAACTCAATGGACATGAGTTTGAGCAAACTCCAGGAGATAGTGAAGGACAAGGAAGGATAGTGCTACAGTTCATGGGGTCGCAAAGACTGAAACGCGACTGAACAAGAGAAAGTTAAACAAAATTGTAGGAAACCATCAACAAATGGAAAATGCAACCTACTGAATGGGAGACCTTAATCAAATCCAAAAAGAACAAAATTAGCTGCATTTGAATAACTTGGTCTTTGCAAATGTAATGTCTGATAAGGGGTTGATATCCAAAAATATATTAAATTCATATAACTCAATGTCAAGGAAACAAACAACTGGGTCTCAAAAATGGGCAGAAGAACTGAATAAGAATTTTCCCAGAGAAGGCATACAGATAGCCAACAGGCATATGAAAAAATGTTCAACATCACCATTCATTAGGGAAATGCATATCAAAACCACCATGAGATATCACCTCATATTTGCTACAATGGCTATCATTAAAAAGACAAAAATAAACATGTGTGTCAAGGATATAGAGAAAAGGGAATTCTAGTAAACTGTTTGTGGGAATGTAAATTGGTACAACAACTATGGCAAACAGTATGGAGTTTCCTCAAAATATTAAAACCTGGACTACCACATGATCCAGTAATTCCACTCATGGTATATATCCAAAGAAAATGAAAATGCTACTTCGAAAAGATATATGCACCCCATGTTCATAGCAACATTATTTACAGTAGCCAAGATGTGGAAAAAATCTAAGTGTCCATTAACAAATGAGTGGATAAAAAAGTAGTGTTATGTATATATGATGGAGTATTACTCAACCATAAGAAAGAACGAAATTTTGCCATTTGCAACAACATGGATGAACCTGTATAGTATTATGGTTAGTGAAATAAGTCAGACAAAGAAACACAAATTCTGTTTGTTTTCATTTATATGTGGAATCTAAAATATAAAGCAAATAAATGAATATAACAAAACAGAAACAGACTCACAGATACAGAGAACAAACTAGTGGTTACCAATGGGTAGAAGGGGAGGGGAGGGGGAGAGGCAAGAAAGAAAAAGGGGATTATAAGGTGCAAACTGTAATATATGGTACATAGTATATAGCCTATATTTTATAACTTTCTGTGGAGTATAATCTATAAAAATATCAAATCACTAAGTTGTATATCTGAAACAAATAAAATATTGTAAGTCAGCTATACTCCAATTTTTTTAAATTAAAAAGCACATCAATTTTAGCAGTGGATACATGTGTGGACTCTGGCATTAGAACTCCTTTGTTCAAAGCCTGGCTTGATGATTCATTAGAATATGCTCTCACGCAACTTTTACTCCTTATCTGTAAAATTCAGAATTTTTATTTTTAATACATTTTGCTTTATTCTTTTTTTTTTTAAACAAGTTTTTTTGGGGGAGCAATAATTGCTTTACAATGTTGTGGTGGTCAATGCAAATCAGTCATAATTACATATATATCCCTTTCTTCTTGAGCCTCCCTCCCCACAAAATTCAGATTTTAATAGGACCTATCTCATAGGAATTCTCCAGGAATAAATTAATTAATTAAAGAATTTAAGAGTATTATCTCATCACTATATGATATCTCTTATCTCTATATTCCTGTAGCATTAACAGCCTATATAATTGACAAATTTATTTGCCTCAGGTATAATATTGATATGTGTAATTGATATAGAAATATTTTATTTCTTAACCTTTACATATTTATATATGATCTTAGAACCATGGTGTGATTTCCCAGAATGCAGGAAACATAGCTTTCTATTTTCTTCTCGCTACTGCACTTAGCAGAGTACCTTACTAATTTTGTGGATTTGTTGATTAGAAATTTACTTCAATTTTGACTTCTGGGAAATGAGTTCATATGAGAGTTCTATGCTGTCATTAAATTGTTCTAAATGTGAATCTTAAATCCCTAAATAGTTTAAATATTATTCTAATGCTCATGGTAGAACAATATAATTATTTTTACTTCTTTAAGAAACAACAGAATTGTCAAAATTACAAGTTAATCTAAAATTTTGATATTCTAAATTTATATCTATATCTACATATACTACCACACAATTGCGCACTCATCTCATGTGCTAGCAAAGTAATGCTCAAAATCCTCCAAGCCAGGCTTCAACAGTACGTGAACCATGAACTCCCAGCTGGATTTAGAAAAGGCAGAGGAACCAGAGAGCAAATTGCCAACATCCATTGGATCATCAAAAAAGCAAGAGAGTTCCAGAAANGCCCTTGGTTTCAACTGTGGTTTTATTTCCACCTCTGCATGTGGGTCGTCACTGGGGTTTGCTCCTGAGGCTGCCCTGGAGGACTTGGGTTTGCCCTGGGAGGGCCAGGTGTGGAGGTGGTGCAGCTGCTTGGGTCTCAGGGGTTCTGGCAGCACCAGGTGCTCAGGGGAGTTGGCAGCTAGGGCAGCAGGAAATACGGTGCTCTAGAAGGGTATGGCAACCAGTACTGGCCAATATGCTCCAGTATTCTTGCCTGGAGAACCCCATTCCCTGACAGAGAAGCCTGGCAGGCCACAGTCTACAGGGTCGCAAAGAGTCAGACACAACAAAAGCAACCCTGCGCCCATAGACACAAGACTTTTTGCCTGTGGCAGCTCTGCCCCAGTAAGAGTTGAGCGTGAAGGTGGCCCAGCTGCTTGGCTTGTGAGGACCCTAGTGGCGCCAAGTGTGCAGGAACATGGACTGCCCCCACTGCAGGAGTTATGGCCCTAACAGAGTCTTGTTTCGAGCCTCTAGTAGCCAACGATCAGTAGGCCTCTTTGGCCAGTCTTACTCTGTAGCTCTGTCCATTCAGGCACTTAGAGGGCTCCCTTGCCTGGGGTCCTTCTCTGTTGTTCCATGCATCAGGCACATATAGAGGGGACCCCTGGCTGGGATCCTACTCTCTAGATCAGTGGCGCATCAGTCACTTAAAGGGCACCCTGGGTGGGGTCCTACTCTGTAGTTCAGTGTGGTCAGGCGTTTGATGGGCCAGCCTGTCTATTGTTCAGCTGTGGATGCTGGTGTGTAGAAAGAGAGAGGCTGTGGTGATGGCTCCACACCCTACGTTTGACTCAGCAGTATCGCCTTGTTTCCATGGCTGCCTCATTTTCCTCCACAGGCAGTTCCCACCACAGTCTCCTCCCTCACATCTCTATCCATCTCTTCAGAGTCAACAGCAGCCCTCACCCTGGGATTCCTCCACAATCCGTAAACTCCAGCTCCCAGCCACTGCGCCTTGCAGGAGACCTATGTCCCTGTCCGGGGTATGTATGGCTGCAACAAGGACTGTCTGATTCTCATTCCATTTAGGCTGCCACAGATCGGCTGTTTCACTCTCAGCCTTAAATGTTTCTCCTCTGACTCAGACAATTGCCCCGATGTGGGGATCGGACTCCTGCTTCAGTGCCCCCACCCACTGAGGGCAGGTCCAGTCCTACTAACACTCCTGTTTTTTCCCCTTGTTCCTTCATCCTGCCAAGTCTTATGTGATTCTATATATTCTTTCCCACTGGTCAGGTACTCCTGTCCACTCTCAGCTGGTGCATTCTGCATGCACTTCCGTGTCTGAAGGTGCATTCCTGATGTGTCCATGGAGAGAGTTGTACTCCATGTCCACCTACTCCTCCGCCTTCTTGTTTTCTCCAGATTCCAGTCTTGACTTGCCAACTTATTAGCCCTGTGACCTTGAACAAGTCATTTTATCTTTTTAAAGTCTCATTTTTTTTCCCATCAATAAAGTGGGGATAATACCAGCTTCAGAAAGCTGTGAAGGTTAAATCAAATGACTTGTGTAAAGCGTTTTTTTTTTGTTTGTTTGTTTTTTTTAAGCCTGATTCACAGATACAAACTAGTGGTTATTAGTGGGTAAAAGGGTAAGGTGAGGGGCAAACTATGAGGGATAAAATAAATAAGCTACAAGGATACACTGTACAACACAGGGAATATAGCCAATATTTTATAACTATAAATGGAACATAACCTTTAAAAATTGTGAATCACTGTATTGTACCCCTGTAACTCATGTAATGTGACTGTGACTGTTTGTGTGGGTTCAGTAGTGTTCAACTCTTTCACAGCCCCAAGGACTGTAGCCTGCCAGGCTCCTCTGTCCATGGACTTTCAAAGTGGGCTACCACTTCCTACTCCCAGGCTCCTCCCAACCCAGCGATCAAACTCCAATCTCTAGGGTCTCCAGCATTGGCAGGTGGATTCTTTACCATTGCACCTTCTGGGATATTGTACATCAGCTGTCCCTCAAGGGAAAAAAAAAAGTTTTAAAAAAAGGTTGGAATAAAGTAAGCTCAGAGTTAAAAAAAAAAAGTTAAGTGTTATAGGGTGTCAGTGAACACTATGATATCTGAATCGGAAAAGATTATGGATTCTAGGGTAAATTTCTTCTGGATTTCTTACTTCCTTTCTCAGTTATCTCACTCAGATGCTCAAGATCCAGAGGTATTCTGTTTCCTCCCTTCTTAGCCCCTGTGTGGTTGGTTAGCATGTGATGACAATGGTGGAGATAGACTTAGAGCTTATATAGCAGAACATACTGTCAATACTGGTTTTAGTTATAAGAGATTGAAGACAAAACTAATTATCACAACAATAACTAACATCACTGAACGTGTAATATATGTTGGGGATCTTGCAATGTTTTTTAAATGTATTATCTCATGAAAAACATGAGGCATAGGTACTATTCTTGTCCCTGGTTTATAGCTGAGGAAATTTAAGCTTAGAGTTTACAACTTAGGAAATTTAAGCTTAAGTAACTTGCCCAAAGCCAAGTAGCTAGTAAGTGATGAAGCTGGGACTTGTACTCATGTGCACTCTTTGACTTTAGAAATGGCTTCCCAAAAATGGGAGTTGTTTGGCCCTGTGAAGTTACATTAATCATTACTTTATCAAATATTTATTCCGTATTTACCATATACCAGTTTAAGTTTTCAAACATGAGTAAAACATGGGGCCTTCCTCTGGGAGACAAGAGAATAATGGAGGAGCGGATGTTTAAGCTAACAAAGTGAGCTGAGGTGAGTGTTAGTTGCTCAGTCATGTCTGACTTTTTGTGACCCCATAACTGTAGCCCTCCAGGCTCCTCTGTCCATGGGATTTCCCAGGTAAGAATACTGAAGCAGAGAGCCATTCCCTTCTCCAGGGGATCTTCCTGACCCCGGGATCAAGCCCAGACCTCCTGCATTGCAGGCAGACTCTTTACTCTCTGGGCCACCAGGGAAGCCCAAAGAGAAGTCTGTTTCCACCTGGTTTAGAATCAGGGACATTTCACATGTGAGGCGAATGTGATAACCACTACACTACAGAAACAGGTGACTTAAGTTCAAATGAAACAAATTTACATGGGGTAGCAAGGAAGAACAAAAAGGAGAGTAGCAACATCTAAGGATCTGGAATCACTTTAAAGTCATTTATATGAACTGCTTTCCATTTGTGAAGTAAAAAATAATGATTTACTAATCTAGCATATTTCATAGTCTTTATCATAAGCTTTATTAAACTAGGTGATGGGAAACGTCCATGTGTTATTGCTCAGTATTCATAGATTGTTGGTCATACAGCTTTGTTGTCCATAGTTTTATAAAGTTAGAGAGAACACTGGTAGAGAATACACCATTTAATTTGAACTGTATAGAGTTCAGCCCATTTTTTAACAGACTGTTTTGGGAAATATATCTTATTTAACTTGGATTCTAGGTATGTGTCTTCCAGAATTCTCAAGATTTAGAATTCCAGATGACCATGCAATTTCAGACCTATCCATGTACAATTACATAGAGGTAAGTGAGAAGGTTTTGTTATTTTCAGTAAGATCATGCACTGATATTCTAATAAAGATTCTTTAATTTTTCTTTGTTCCAGCCCCATCTCATGCATGCCATGTAAGAATAAGTGCCAAAAGAAAACACACACACACAAACAGAGCATTCCTTTTTACATGGTTGAGATATGAAGGCAGAGACAGTGATAATGGCCCCCACACACCATCTTCATCTATATTTCAGGGACATTTAGGAGGTAACAAAAATGAAAAAGTGTCTGGTTTCAATATCTGATCATTCATAAGCTCAAGCCTTTAGTAGAGTTAGTAATACACTGTTTTAATGAAAAAATATTTTTGATATGAGTTAATATATTTGGAAAATTTAAGAGACGTTGATTAACCTTTCCGTTCTTAATATTATAAGCTGTGAACTTAAAGTAGTATTAAATAGTCTTTGGGGGATTTTGTACTGAAAGAAATATATAACACCAAAGAAATTCACAGTCAGTAGATTAATACTCAGAAGAAAACCACAATTCCATTTTGAGCCAGGCATATGAAAACTCACAGTAAATGATTATGGTTATACTTTTTCAATCAAATGAAAAAAATTTCCAAGATAAATTTTTAGAAAGAGTGTAGCTATTTTCCATCTCTCCTGAAGACAGAAAGAAATAAAGTAGACTTCAACTTGAGCAGAATTTTTTCATATGTGGTAAAGGTAAGCTTCTATAAGCTTCTGGAATTCTCACTGAGATATCTTGCCTTGTCTTAAAAACAAGACAATTTTAACATAAGATTTAACCTCAATATGGAATAAACCTAGAGGCATAGCTTTAAACAGATCTCTTTTTGCCAAAATAATGTTGCAAACTGACCCAGGAAATAACAGAAATTAACCAAATCTTTGGGCTCACAGAGAACTGACAGATTCATGCAAACACTTGCTGAAATAGAATTGACCCTGGAGCAAAATAGAGTTCTAACAGGGTTTGCATAATTGCTGTACCTTTTCAAGTTACTGTCCTCTGACACTGGCTGAAAAGGAAATGACTGAAATGGATAGGAAGCAAGAGTTTATTTGACTACTTTGAGTCTGGCTTTGTGGTGAATGGGAATGAAGAGTGACACTAAGTTGTAGTAAACAATTAAAGGTACTTTTTAAAAGATATTCTTTGAGACTCCTTACATTATTACAGATGCGAGCACACGTCAATTCAAGGTGGTTCATCTTCCAAAAGAACATAGAGAGATTTCTTCATGCTATTATGCCATCTACCTTTATTCCTCTTTATACCATGGTAAGGTCTGGATTCAAGACTTTTTCTCATTTTAATCTTCTGTTTAGCCATTATAGAATACTTAGGAATACTTTTTAAACTTTAACAGGTCACCTTTTCCAGAATAAGATACCATGAAGCAGTGCTGCGTTGGCATTGGCAGAAAAAGGTAGGAACAAGTTACACTTACTTGTAATTTGATATGTTGAAGTTCACAGTGTTATGGTTATGTTTACCTCAGACAAATACGGAAATAACGAAACAAACATCAAGTATTTGCCTTCGGATAAAAAATGTCCTGGCTACACAGGTGACAGAATGCCTAATGAACAAAATTACAAAGAGGCAACTCTTGAAGAGAAGAAATTCAAAAAAGAAACTGATGCTAATATTTCTAAACTTTTTACTTTATTTTAGCAGCATGACCTTTTACTTTTATTTAGCAGTTGACTTTCTTCATGCAATACTCCTATGGGTTTAATTTATAAAATTGGGCAAAATCCTTTAGGATTGACTGTTTTGAATATTCTTTAGCAAAATAGAGTTCTAACAGGGTTTGCATAATTGCTGTACCTTTTCAAGTTACTGTCCTCTGACACTGGCTGAAAAGGAAATGACTGAAATGGATAGGAAGCAAGAGTTTATTTGACTACTTTGAGTCTGGCTTTGTGGTGAATGGGAATGAAGAGTGACACTAAGTTGTAGTAAACAATTAAAGGTACTTTTAAAAAGATATTCTTTGAGACTCCTTACATTATTACAGATGCGAGCACACGTCAATTCAAGGTGGTTCATCTTCCAAAAGAACATAGAGAGATTTCTTCATGCTATTATGCCATCTACCTTTATTCCTCTTTATACCATGGTAAGGTCTGGATTCAAGACTTTTTCTCATTTTAATCTTCTGTTTAGCCATTATAGAATACTTAGGAATACGTTTTAAACTTTTACAGGTCACCTTTTCCAGAATAAGATACCATGAAGCAGTGCTGCGTTGGCACTGGCAGAAAAAGGTAGGAACAAGTTACACTTACTTGTAATTTGATATGTTGAAGTTCACAGTGTTATGGTTATGTTTACCTCAGACAAATACGGAAATAACGAAACAAACATCAAGTATTTGCCTTCGGATAAAAAATGTCCTGGCTACACAGGTGACAGAATGCCTAATGAACAAAATTACAAAGAGGCAACTCTTGAAGAGAAGAAATTCAAAAAAGAAACTGATGCTAATATTTCTAAACTTTTTACTTTATTTTAGCAGCATAACCTTTTACTTTTATTTAGCAGTTGACTTTCTTCATGCAATACTCCTATGGGTTTAATTTATAAAATTGGGCAAAATCCTTTAGGATTGACTGTTTTGAATATTCTTTCGAAAGCCTGTTGCTGAAGCTAGAGCTACAATACTTTGACCACCTGATGTGAAAAGCTGACTCATTAGAAAAGACCCTGATGCTGAAAAAGATTGAGGGTAGGAGAAGAGGGTGACAGAGGGTGAGATGGTTGGATGGCATCACTGACTCAATGGACTTCAGTTTGAGCAAACTCTGGGAGATAGTGCAGGACAGGGAATCCTGGCATGCTGCAGTTCATGGGGTCACAAAGAGTCAGGCACAACTTAGCAACTGAACAACAAGTACAAATAATTCTATTTCTAAAAGACAAAACCAGTAATACAAAATTATATTTGTTCTTTGAGAAAAACATCTAAGTATTGTAGTGATTGTCAATGACTTAAGATGGGAATGCAATGAGATTCCTTCCAATGCTGAGATTTCTATGATTTTAACATTAAAAAAATTGGACAAAGTTAAATCACTTATAAAACACAATCTAATTCCAATGTAATGCTATGCCACATTAATTTTGGGCAGTCAACTCGCAGATGCCATTAAATGGAGATTCAGATTCCTGATCTTCCCCTGTGGAAATGTTACAACTTCATTCACTAAATAAATAGTTCTATTTAGTACGTAGATACTGAGCTAGGCATGGGGATGAACATGAGGCAGTCCCTACCCTTGGCATAGCTCAGAGACTAGTACAGGAAATGGACACCTTCAGTGGAGAGGCATTGCCCTGGAGGAGAATGGTCATAGACCTGGGGAAAGAGGGTGGAGGTTGAAAAAACCTCTCAGACATTCAGAGCGGCAAGTATTCGGTGGAACTGGAAGAAGCTCATATGTGTGAATGAAAAGAGAAGGAGCTGGAATAGCAAGTAGGACCTGAAACATCATGAATGTTATTTTAAGGAAAATTGGAAGACAAAGCAGACTTGTAGTCTCAGGTGTGGATTTTAGAAAGATTACTTTGCTGTATAGAGACTAGATTGGAATGAATCAAGATTTATTCATACAGAGATGAATAAAATAAGGTCCCTGCCCTCAAAAAGCTAAAAGTTCAAAGGGGAAAGAGATAACAATAGGCAGTTAAATGTAGGACCATGGGTGTAATGTTAGAGGCCAGGATGATACAGGAATGCACACAACCCAGGCTGGACTCCTCGGCTTGTATGGTTGATAGGCTGTAGATGGTGAAGGTGCCTAAGTCTTTGAATGTGCATCGTCCAAGTCACAGAGGTTCACTGGACCCATCACTCTTCTTAGGAACACCTCGTACAAGGTCTGAGTGGTGACTGAATCACTTGTGGCTTCTTCCAAGACAGAGTTCATAATTCTTTTTTTTTTTTTTCAACTGTGGATTTCTTTGTGGCTGGACAAAGACTGTATGCTAAGAATTCTTTATACAGAACATGTGGATTCATGAATTTCTGGGAAGAGAGAGGAGAGAGAGGAAGGCAGGAAGCTTCAAATTACCAGCCATTGCAGGACTTCACCTAGTGGTCATGCAATGAAATCTCTGTTTCACACTAAAGAACAAATAGAAAAGTGAAACAATGTTGTTTAAGAATGAAGTCTATTTTCAAGATTTTAATCTCTGAACAAATAAAAGGAAAGTTCTTACTCTCTTTACAGGTGATAAATAGAGGACTTTTTCTCTTTGGAACGCTGATAGCTGTCAGTGGTACCTACCTACTTATGCGCTACAGATCACCGAGATCCCTGGACTACTTGAGAAGACCATCAGAGTGGGTCACTTACTTCCAGAATACAGGACATGTTTCCCTGTAAATTCCTTTGAGTCACTAGAACAAATTCCTAATGTCATTAACAAGTGATAAAAAGATCCTGAAGTAGCAAATATTTGATTTTTCTGTAACCAAAACTGGAACAAAATCATGTTTCCATTATCATTTAATTCACTAATGGAAGATATTTGTCAGCTTATAATCAACTTCCATGTAGAATTTCTCTGCAAGTTTATTGTAATTAATGAAAAAATAACCCATCACTTTCAGTTGTAAAATGCAGTTTTCCCACAGCACTATTGTTAGGTCAGATCATTCTAAATATAAAAGCACAATGACTAAGATCTCTTTCACTTCTCAAAAAGTAAGGCCCTAAAGACCTCAAGAAGTCACAATCATAGTTTTCTTTAAAGCACTTAATAGAAATCATGATAGGATTCACTTAACACCTGGGGCTAAAAGTCACAATTTGCCTAATGGATTAGTATAATTGTACTTTTCATCACTTGGATGAAACTTACTCAAACACAGGGCTCAGATTTTCTTGCTAAAACTAGAAATATAAATAAGCAAAGGGGGCTTTCTCAAGAGTTCAAAATGAATCAGTTTTATTTCCCAGTCTTCAAATGCCAGTATTACCTTCTGAGGATTTCTTAAATTTATTTTTTAATTTAAAAAAATTTGTGGTAAAAGTCATAATATAAAACATACTATTTTAATCATATTTAAGGCTATTAAAGCCACACTAAATGAAGGGTAGGAAGAGTCTTATTTATAAATTAAATATCTATATACATATAGGTAGAAAGGAAACAGTTTCATAGAAAGATGAAGCCATGTTTATTCCATTTCAGAAGCAACTTATTAACATTCTTAAACTATATGTTGCAAAACCAGGGATAAACTTGATGTTTAAAAGTTCATTTAGTATTATTTCTAAATCACTGGATATACTTTGTTAAATGCATTAATTATCTTACAGGAAATCATTATTCTTCCAAATCATGCGATTTTACATTTCTTTTGAGAATGTCAGTAATTTTCACAGAACTACTAAAGTTTCAGAATCATTGATAATTAAAACAAGGCCTGGAAAAGTTTTCCTCCTAAAATCTCCACCAAATACCTTCAAACTGTATTAAATTTTAAAGAAATGTATGAAATCAGACAACTTAAGTTTTTATGTGGAGAACTTCTGTCTTTTCTAGATTATATAGACATGCTTATTTGCACTGACAGTTGGAATTTGTTTTTGTTGTTATACATGATCTTATGTTGTCATAACTTAGAGTATTAACTTAAATGTGATTTAGAAATATAGGAATAAAGAACAATTTGGAGAAAACAAAAAATAAATCTGTTTCTTCAGAAACAAGGCAAAAAAGTTCATTTAGTGGATACTCTTTTTTTGGTTCTTCCTTCTTCAATAGGCCAACTGAATCATTTAGCAGTCTTCCAAATGTGATTAATTATGAAGATGCAACACCAGTAGAATAGTCATGTAAGAAATAAAAATTAGGAAATAAAATTATTCACTTACTTCCCTATATTGTCAAAGAAATCCTTGAGTCCTAACAATCCATTTTTAGTGTAAATAACGACTCATGAAAAAATGGTCTCTTCAGTAGCTCTGACCACTATTTATGCAGTGGATTTATTGAAAAGCAATGAAGATTAAATAACACATTTCACAAATACACTTCTACACTTACTTTCATTCTCCTTCAAATGTAGCTTTGTTTGGCTTTGCTGGAACTTTTTTTCTAAATCTAGAATTCTTGGAAAATTATGAGAAATCACTAGGAGGAGAGACTAATCCTACCATGTTAATATTTGAAATGAAATAGATGTAGACATCTATCTTCCATCAACACTGGCTTCACCATGTACATCCATTGCTAATGTACGATTACCTTTAATCTTGATCACCTTGAAATTCATCATTTGTGTGTGTGTGTGTGTGTTGCTTTTAACCATCTGAGCCACCAGTAGAGCCCTTGTGTGTTGCTTTGCAATGGTACCTTCTAGAGCTTGCTCAGCAACACTTTGTCTGAAGCTCGTCTTTATCATGTTACACATAGAGCAAGTCTTTGGTTTCACATAAAATTAAGGAATTTATTTTCTTTTTCATCCTAGAATTGTCTGTTTGATAAACTTGATTGAACAAACATTTGACATGACACTAAATAGGACCCAACACTACAGAAAATTCGAGATTTTCTAGCTATTTCACACATGTGTATGAAACAAAGTTATTTTTGTTATGCCCGATGTCTGAATCCCTGAGCGGGAAGAGAGAAGGCTTCCAAGACAATGCAACTCGCAAAAAAAGGAAAGTTTATTGCTGACTCGAGTCAGGGCTCCCGCCGCGCGTCCAACGCAGTGGTACGGGGTCAGAGAGCGCTGAGCTCAAGCTGTTACCCAATTTATAAGGTGTGCATAAGCAGTTGGTAGCTGGCTTAAGCGGATTGGTTACATGTTTGCAAAGTAATCTTATTGGCCCAAACCTTCGCGGGCTTTTTTCAAACTTGGGCGTTCGCGGGCTTTTCAGCTTTCCCCTGATAGGTTCCCTTTTTCTTGCTAGGCGCATGTTGATTGGCTGGCTCCAGGTTACCTGATGGGGGCGGGGAATCCCACCATTTCAGGGGAAACCGAAACCCAGGTCCGGGCCACCTGCCAGCCCTGGCAGCCCCATAATTTTAACTGCTAAGGATGTCTCTTTTTTTATTTTTTGAGAAATATATTATGTGCTTTGGAAAATTCAGTCATTTAAAAATATGTATTTGAAGTGAAAATTTCTGACATGTTAGAAGTTGATGGTGCCTGATACACAGCTTGTGCCACAAGTGATTTTCCATTGTATAAAGCAACCACTGAATTAAAAGAATCTGTCTTGCTCAATTGCTCCCTGAGGTCAAATAGTCCAAGAGCAATTCAGATTCCCTTCTGAATCACAGAAGTTCTGTTAATATTACACAGAATGGGGAATTCCAAAATGGTCCTTTTAATGATAGTCTAAATGGTGGCTGATTTAAGTCCCACTGTTCATTACTGTTATTCATTCCTGTAAAGGATGAACTTGGATTACATCAACCTTTGACCCATTGGTTCTGTCACTGTTACCCACTGATAATGATTCATCATTAGTGATAAAAATGATGGAAAAAGAGTTAAAAGTCACTTTTTGCTTTGGCTTGTCCCTTTCTTTCTTTGACATCACAATGGATCTTAAACACATTTCTCTCCCAAATGCAGATATGTCTTTAGCCAATGTCTGGCATCTCAGCAGTTAGAAATGTAAGAGCTGCAAGAGGGCTCTTTAAAACTGGGTAGGGAGAAAATAAAGTTGAATATTAAGTAAAAGCTTGGCCCTTAATCTGGATTGACATTTAGGAAAATTGGATTAATTTAATTTGGGTTGTTCTTTTTTACTTATTAGCTGATGCGGAGTTAGGTGGTAATGCTCAATCTACTTAATTAAGCCTAGAATTTAATGTCTTTTATTTATTATAATCCTTATTAACTTTACTACATAAGTCTCTTTCAATGCAGTATAATATCCATAGATTCAAATTGCATGAACCTTCCATGAAGGCAGCTAGATGTGTTTCATTTTGAACATTAATTCATTCCACAAATATTCAATGAGCCCTTATGAGCTGAGGCAACTTGTGCTACAATCTGGGGATATGTGGGCAGCAGAGACAGACAAGACCCTTTCTAGAAGAGTTTCAGCTTGGTATACTTACTAACGTCCCTTTAATTAGGTTGAGTTTTCCTTGTATCAAGATTACATATCAGTTGGTGAAAATATACAACAGCAAACCAGGTTCAAATCCAGGTACCAAAGTGTCCTGAAGCAAGCAAATTTTAACTCCTTTGAACCTAGCTCATAAATCCATAAATAAAATAATATTAGTATCTATGTCATGGAGTTTTGTAAAGATAATGGATGTAATCTGCATAGTGCAGTAAGAATTTTAAATAAATTATTAACTTTGTATTTGTTATCATTACTAAACATAAAATGTTTTTTGATGTATTAAACTCTGATTTTAATAAAATTTTACCTAACAAATGCAAACCTCTATTGGTAGGTCTTAGAATTGTTATCATATTCAATGGGAATATCCTACACATCCCATCCCAGAGTCTGGCTGAAACCAAGAAATATTTGCAACTTATGGCCTTTTGGGGCTTCCCAGGTGGTACTAGTGGTAAAGAACTCACCTGCCAATGCAGGAGACATAAGAGACGTGGTTTCAATCCCTGGGCTGGGAAGATCCCTTGGAGGAGGGCATGGCAACTCACTCCAGTATTCTTGTTTGGAGAATTCCAGGGAAAGAGGAGCCTGGTGGTCTACAGTCCGTAGGGTTGCAAAGAGTTGAACACAACTGAAGCGACTTCACACACACATACACACACACACACACACACACACACACACACATTCACACACACATGCCCTTTTTACTTTACCTTCTCATACCCCCACTCTTTGTTCTATAAAAGAAGCTAGCATCCCGACCCCAGCAAGATGGTTCTCTAGGACATTAGCATGCCATCTTCTGGGACTCCTGGCTTTCAAAATAAAGTCATTAATTCCTCATCCCAAAACCTTGTCTCCCAATTTATTGACATGTCATGTGGCTTGCAGAACAATCTTGGACTCAGTAACAGAAGTTCCTCCTATTAGTATTATAAATGTGTGGTGGCTGCAATTGCTGGTGACTGACATCCATGTGTTGCAGGAAGGGGGACCCCTTCCAAGGCCTGAGAGTGGGCTCTTGTTTAACACTTAGAAATGAATTGTCCACAGAGACATGGGCTGACAAAGCAAGAGATTTTATTGGGAAGGGAAGCCCAGGCAGAGAGCAGCAAGGTAGAAGAGCAGAGGAGAACTGCTCTGTCACATGCCTTGCAATTTCGGTGACGGGATCACTTTCCCGGTTGACTCTGGCCAATCAGTCTGACTTGGGGTCATTCCTGGGGGCGCATACACTGCTCAGCCAAGATGAATTTCAGCGAGGAGGATTCTGGGCGGTGGTAGGACATGGGGCATCTTCTTCTGACCTTTCCCAAATTCTTCCGGTTGTTAGTGGCTTGTTAGTTCCATGTTCCTTATTGGGACCCCCTGTCATAAAATAACTGATGGAAATGAGCACTTTGGTACCTGGTCAAAGTGGGCAGTTTCTGTCAGCGTGTTTCCCCTAACACTTGTTTACCGATTCGGCAGCAGAGACCCGGTCACACCTCTTTGTACTTCCACCACTTCTCCTTCCTAGGCCCTCTGTAACTCTTTCCAAAAATAGTTGCTTGTCCCTGTTGCATGTATGTAGAAATAAATAAGACTGGGTCTCTGCTCTTGAGGAGTTCACTATTTGGTGAGGGTGACAAGTACATAAACATACTGCTGCCAAAGGTGATACATGCCATGAGGGAGGTGACTGGTGAGGGCTATGGGAATATACAGGAAAGATAACCAATTCAGAGGTAGGTAAGAGCAAGTAGATCCTGATGTCAGCCCTTCTGAGGCGAGGAGACGTTTAGACAAGCAGGAGAGACAAAATGTTCCAAGGAAAGGAAATGGGCTAAGACAAAGAGGTAAAATAACATGTCAATTTCTGGGGACAAGAAATACTACAGTTCCCTGGAGCCTGAGGTGGCTAAAGGGACAGTGTGTGGGGAAAATGAGACTGATGAGACTGGTGTGTGAAAAATGAGATGGCCATGCAGGACCTGAGAGTCAGCTCAGGGGCCTTATTTTTCATTATGAAGGCAACGGAACCCTTAAAGGACTTGTTCTGGGTAGTGATGTAAGAAAATTTGCCCTTGAGAACAATTAATCTGGTGGCAGTATAAAGTGAATGGATTAAGAGGAAAGCAAGAATAAAGAGGCCCAAGGGAAAGAAGCCCTCGAATGAGACAAGAAGATGGGGCCAGAGAGTCAGTAACAAAAATAGCAGAGAAGGGGTCCTAGAAACATTGAGAGCGGAAACTCACAATTAAGTGGAAGCTGTCAACAATGTCACATGTGTCAATGCCACAGATGCCAGGAAAAAAAAAACCTGACAGGTGTCCATTGGCTCTAACGTGGGAGACCATCAATGACCTTAATGAGTGCTGTTTCTGTGAGAGTGTGGTAGAAGAAGGAATCACCAATTTGCAATGGGTTGAGGAACAAATATGTGAATTTACTAAATGGCAGGTTTTCTGAGGCTGTGGCTCAACCTTATTCACTGTGTAGCCTCAGTGATTAGTAATTGTCTTTGCTTGGGCTTCCATAACACATTACTGAGTGGCTTAAACAATAGAAACTTAAACAATAGAAACTCATTTCTCACAGACTTGGAGACTGGGAAGTCTAAGATCAAGTTGCCAGTAAGGTTTTCATTCTGAGGCCTCTTTTCTTGGCCTGTAGATGGGCACATTCTCTCTATATTCTCCTGTCAGTGGAGAGAGAGAATGAGGTGGTTTCTCTTTGTCTTCTTATAAGGGTACTTATAACCACACGAGGGCCCCACCCTCATGACCCCATTCTCGTATGTCCCTATTTACCTACCAAAGGCCGCATCTCCTACACCATCACAGTGATTATCTGATATTCAGATATTCAGCCCATAACAGCAAGCAAACATTTTAGATGTTTAATAATTATTGGTCAACCAAATGCTTATTGAGTGATGATGTGGCATCAATTTTCTTTAGGTTAACTGTGATGAGGAGTAGAATAAAATGATAAGCTAGAGGGAGTTGAGAATATATTTTGAATTAAATTTGCATGGTTATATGCTAGAGTTTGGAGAAGGAAGTGGCAACCCACTCCAGTATTCCTGCCTGGAGAATCCCATGGACAGAGGAGCCTGACAAGGGGTCACAAGAGTCAGACATGACTTAGTCACTAAACCACCACCACCATGCTAGAGATATTGAGCCAGTAGTAGGGAGAAATTGAGGATATAAGTAAAAGAGAAAATTATTACTTGAGAGAGGTCCCTGAAGCAGAGAATGTGGGTGGGGAAAAAAACAAGAATCTCGGATCAGATTGGTCCTGAGAGATATTTCCCATTACCTTGCAGCTAAAGAGTGAAGTCAGAGTTAGAACATGGAGGCAAGGAGTTGAGGAATTTCATGATAATAACTTTATTTTTCCCAACAAATAAGAAGCAAGATTGTTGATAAAAATGAGGTTGGGGCATAGTAGGACAAGAGAGTAAGATGAGAACTGATGATTTGTAATAGCAATAGCAACTGAGTAGAGAGTAGATTGGGCTTCCCAGGTTGTGCTAGTGGTAAAGAATTTGCCAGCCAGTGCAGGAGACATAGAGGTTTGGTTTCAATCCCCTGGAGGAGGGTATGGCAATCCACTCCAGTGTTCTTGCCTTGGAGATCCCTCAGACAGAAGAGCCCGAGGAGCTACAGTTCATGGGGTCACCAAGAGTTAGACACCACTGAAGTGACTTACACACACACACACACACACACACACAAACACACACAGAGTGGATCATCCAGAGATCCAAAGATTACTAGGCAATAATAACAGAATGTCTCACTCCTCACTGAGTACAGATGCTGGGAATCTTATGTGGTTTTTCTCCAGCTTATCTTATTGACTACAGTCATGGAGAAAGCACATAGCTGGATTGAACCAGGGATTTGATTTTGTTTTCAGAACGAATGTGCACGAAAAATGTTGGAATATGAAAGTTGAGAATGATGGGTCATGATTTAAAATAATACAAGTGACTAAGTGATTTTAAAGAGGTGAAAGCTAGAGGGGTTTGGCAGATTGAGCAAGAGACTAGAGAATTTTGGTGAGAGAGGAGAAAAGAGTAGCAAAAGGCAATGATTAAGGAAAACATACATGACTGAAGTTAGAAACTGGAATATGAAGCATGCTCTAGTCTGTTACTTTAGACTTCCTTCTTGTTAGCACTTAACATGAAACCTGCCATGGTCAGTTCTTGTCTTTTATGACTCAAAAAGTGATTTCCAGGCAAAGTATCTGTACCATTCTTCAGAGGAGATTCAGTGAATTAAATTATGGGAAGTGCGAAATCCCCTTTATGAGGTTTTTCAATTCTAAGAGTGCTTGAGAACATAGAGTTTTGAGGGTTGCCATTGATTGGGTCCGTCCAGAACACTTTTGCTTCCTTTTTCTGGTTTAGAGAGTGACGTAGAGAGACTAAATTCGTCACGGATTTTTTTTTAGACAGTGACTCACCGTGCAAAATTTAATCAAGCTAGAAGTCCCTTAGAGCTGCACCAGCTGTGGGGGAAGAGTATGATTCTTTTCTGAGGGAAACTGTCTACCCAGAACAGTTCGAGGGAGGGGTGTTCATAGTCTTCAACTCACAGTTTGAATGGAAAAGAGAAAACGGCCTTGACAATGAGCAATGACACCATCAGGCAGCCAAGAAACAAGAAAAGCACAAAGGACGAGTGTCTGGTGTCCTTGGATGGCCAGTCTCCAGTGCAGCCTGGTCCATGCATGTCCAGGATGTGGTTGTTCCAGCCCAGGAGAGATGCTCCTGACCACACTATTGAGGACAGCCAGATGCAAGGAATGCTCCTTCAGGCCTGGGGAAAATGGATCACTCTGACATGGATCATGCAAATCTAACACTCATACGCCAGCCTTGTTAGGTTGATGATGGAAACAATCCCTGCAAGAAGAGAAAGTGGGACAGCATAGCAGGGCACGGTGGGGGTGCAGGGGAGTGGGGGAAGACCGAACAGGAACAACAAGGTGCTCCAAAAGCCAAAATATATTAAGAGAAATAATGCCTCATAGTCCTCAGGAAATTCAACTGGAGATACATTTACTCAGAAAGTGTGGAATGGAAAATGGCATGTGTTCTTTAGTCACCAAGTCATATCTGACACTTTTGCAACCCTATGAACTGTAGCCCAACAGGCTCCTCTGTCCGTGGGACTTCCCAGGCAAGAACACTGGAGTGGGTTGCCATTTCCTTCTTCAGGATGTCTTTCCAACCCAGGGATTGAATCCGAGTCTCCTGCATTGGTAGGCAGATTCTTTACCACTGAGCCACCAGGGAAGCCCCTGTGAACTACAGCAGGACAGAAATAAAAGCTCTAAAATCAGCTCTGGCCTAATGGTGCAGCTGTTGTGTTAAATTTTCTGAGAGAAAAACTCCAGAGAGAAACTCTGCAGTGTTTCAGGAAGAGTCACTAAAACAGTCATCTCTTGGTTTTCACTTCTCTCAACTGTCTCACTCAGCTATAGAGATGATGTCAAAGTAGGTTTCACAGGTGTGAACTGACCAAAGTGATGATAAAATTGCGCAGGAGCTGTGTTTACCTACCTACTAGCACCGTCAGCCCATGAACTTTCACAGGCATGACTGCTGACAAGGGATGGAAGTCTGAGACTGTGTCTTCATCTATGCCTCTATTTTGCAGCAATTAGGCTTTAACAATATTTTTCTTTTATTTCTCTGCCCCTCCTGAGAGAGTGATTTACTCATGCATTAAGCTCCTTTTGAGTATCTACTGTGTGCTGGGCACTGGGCCGACACTGGCAACTCAGTGATGATGGAAACTCAGAAATCTAGATTTTTAGAGGGGAAGTAGATGAGTTAAGCAACTGTAAAAACCATACAGGAAGTAAAAGTTACAATTTAATACAATATATTGTAGGAATCACAGAAAAAGGCACTTGTGAATAAGGCAAGAGAAGTGTATTCCAAGAAGAATAAAGAATTATTCTGGAACATAGAGGCAATAAATGACAGAAAATGGTCTAAGAATGAGGAGAGGATTCTAAGATACTGGGTCTCAGAGAATAACTAGAAAGGAAAGATAACATCACAAGGAACAGATAGGGTCTTACTAAGAAAGGCTCTTAATTTCTTGCTAGAGTTTTCATTTGGTTGTTTGTTCCTATTTTTCTTTTCCTTTTTGACCTTTTCCTGCTTAGAATAGTAAATTATAAATCCATTACATCATCATGCTTTTTAAGCATAGAAGTGACAATAGTTAAGTTCTCCCTTTCTTCCTCTGTCTTTTTTCTCTGAAAAAACAGTCATTGAAGCAGCTGTATAGAATTGGAAACAGTCCAGTGCATGGAGACCATCTAGCAGGCTTTTGCAATAGTCCGGGCAAGATATGATGGAGCCTGAATTAGGATATTTTTATAGGTATGAACAGTGAAGTCTGTATTCCAGAGACATTTAGCAATTAATATCATCAGAATCCTCCAACTTCTTGAATGTGAAGAGAGAGGAGAGTGGAGTCAGAGTTACTTGGAGGTTTCTGACCTGCCTGATGAGTAAAGAGAGTGGTTAATGAAGACGAAAATCTACTACAAAAATGTATGGGTTAGATAGTGAAATGTTGCGGCTGTGACCGGTGAATGACACCAGGATGCCTGGCCTCCGGAGGAGAGGATTTCCATCTGGGGCCAAAGAGGAGGCTTGGGGCCAGAGAGGAGGCTTGGTTACTTGGAGATTTTATGTAGCAAAGTTTTATTTACATATAAAAGGGAAAGAGAAAGCTTCTGAGATAGACATCAGAAGGGGGCAGAAAAGACACTCCCTTGCCAGTTTTTAGCAAGGCATCTTATACTTAGCAAGCTGTTGATTACAGATAAAAGAAACACCTCAAGGCTGAGACAATTGTACCTGGGTTTCTCTCCCACAGCATACATATCTGTACAAGGGGCAACTACTGGGGAAGGGTTGTCTCTGGGCAAGATATACTGTATCCATAAAACAATTGACATGCCTTGAAGGAAAACAGATCTCCAAGCAAGATACATAGTTTCATTAACATAGCTAAGAAAAACATTTTCTTGAGTAAGATTATTTTTTGGGCAATTAGCAGCTCAAGGTTTGGGAAAAAGTTACTTTAAGGAGATTATCATTTTGGCATAGCAACATTGGATCAAAAGGAGCCTCCTGTGGCTCAAGGAATGGGGTGGGGTGGGGTGGAGTGGGGTAGTCAGCTGCTTGGCTTGTCATTTGTTTCCTCCTGCCGCTTGGGAACCTTCCTACCTGACTGCTAAACCTTTCAATATGAGGGAGAAAATGAAATTGTGAGATCCCTAGAACACAGTGGCATAAACATCTGTTGAATGCATGGATCAAGAGTGGTTCTAGGAGGGCTTCCCTGGGGACTCAGTGATAAAGAATCCGCCTGCCAATGCAGGAGACACAGGTTCGACCCCTGATCTGTGATGATCCCATATGCCAAAGAGCAACTAAGCCTGTGCGCCACAACTATTGAATCTGTGCTCTGGAGCGCAGGAGTCACAACCTTTGAAGCCTGCAGAGAAACCATCACAATGAGAAGCCTGGGCACCGCAGCTAGAGAGCAGCCCCCGCTTGCCCCAACCAGTACTGAGGACCCGGCACAGCCAAAAATAAATAATTTAAATTTTTAAAAAAGGGCTTTAAATCATTTAAAGTGCTTAAAAACAGAGTGGTTCTAGGAAAAGTGATTCTGATGGGGAATGAAAATAAAACTGGTGTCATGATAACCAGTAGGAGTGTGGAGACTAGGTTATACCATGATAAATATTTTATTACAAGGACAGTATTACTCCCAGTGTCTGATACATGTGCTAGTCAATAAACACTCACTGAATAAATGAGTATTTAGTAAATACATAAGTGACTGAAAGATTGTTTTGGAATATGGTAGAAGGAAATAACTCAGAAAATAGTGATAATGATAGTAAAGGATGGATTTAAATTTAAGTAGAATAGGAAATTTTGGAGACCAAATATCCAAGTAGATATGCTGTCTTCAGAACTAGTAATCTATTTTCCCCTTTTACATTTATTTCTGAAAGACTGATATTATCTTTTTTAACTGAGTATATTCATAGAAGAAAATCTAAAAATAGTGACACAATAAATTGACTCTAATAAAATACTGTTGGTTTTATTTAATTTACAAACTTTCTTATTAAGTATAATGCCATTTAATTATATATTAATACTTGATGTTGAAGCATAGCTTGACCTTCAACTTCAGTATGATTTAATCCTTTACTGGCAAAGAAGTTTAGTGCAAATAATTATGTTGTAGGTTAACAAATCTCAGTGTACTTTACAGACCAATAAATGTGTTATTATGGTTAAAACAATAAATTAGTATAATTTTAACTTTCATACATTCACTTATTTATTCATTAAGTACATGTGTCAATCATTGTGCTAGAAATTCAGCATGAAGTGGTGAGTGAAGCAAGCATTTTATGGAACTTACCACAGTCCAGAGGGTAAAAGAGAAGAGATTAAAACAACCCAGAAAGTAAAACAGGTAAACCTGTGAAGTGCTATGGAAAGACGAGATACCGCAGAGATAGAGAATAAGGTGAGGTGAGATGAGAGAAGTCATAAAGGCATGGTGAACAAGGTGTCACTAAAAGCCTCGTGCTCAGAGATGAAATAGGGAGTCCAGTTTTGTGATGTCAGAATGCAGGAGTTGACTACATTTTCCCTTATTATTATTTCAGTCGAAGAACATTTTTTTCTTTATGTATTATTTGTCAGCATTGGGTCTTAGTTGCAGCCAGAGGGATCGTCCTTGCAGTGCACAGGCTTCTTTCCAGCTGTGACATTCGGGCTCCAGAGTGTACAGGTTTATTAGTTGCCCCTCAGTATGTGGGATCCCAATTCCCTGATCAGGGATCGAGACTACATCCCCTGCATTGGAAGGCGGATTCTTAACCACTGGACCACAAGGGAAGTCTCAAGATTTTTAAAATATTATATAATCTTTGACTATGCCTCTGTCTTTACAAGCACAATGGGTTTCAATTCCTGAATTAAACTACTTTTATTCTGTTCCATGACCAGTTAGTAGAGACCTAGAGAGAGCAAAGCTTGCATTTCTTAGGGATAGCAATAAGTCCTCCCAATAGCATGGGTGTATATAAGCAGCAGGCCTAGTCACACAGATTTAGCCTTCCAGTGTGGCCCACTTAAACAGAACTAAACTACATCCTTTTCTTGCAAAATATATATATCAGCCTCCCTCCCCCCCCCCTTAATACTTTATTTACTAATGGATTTCAATCCTGAGTCCTAATTGCTTGTTATATTCTAGTTGATTCCCAGAACACATCCCGGGAGGATGAAAATGCATGGACTGTATTACAACTGTGTTACACATACTTTTTAACTGATGTTAAGCCTAAATCTCTATTTCCTTTGACACTATGGACAGGAAAGGGGAAGGTGACTATTGCAAACTGTGCATCTATTGTGAAACAAGCCCCAAGGCAATCATTCTGTGGGAGATATCCCTCACCATTTTTTTTTTTTTGTGTGTGTGTGTGGAAAAAAGAGGTCTGTGGCTCAAAAAGGGTAAGAAGTGGTGAAGATAGTTTTGACAACTCAGGAATGGACTGGCTGATTTCAAAACTCGTGATTTTGTTGTTACACAACCTATTGTACTATAGGGCAACTTTTATTACCCCATAGCGGAAGTGTGATGACCCTGCTTATCCTGGAAAGATGTGAATTGATCACGTACATATTAAGTGCCTCTTAGTCTGCTGAGTGGGCTCAGTGGTAAAGAATCCACCAGCCAATGCAGGAGATGCAGTTTAATCCCTGGTGGGGGTAAGATCCCCTGGAGAAGGAACTGGCAAACCACTCCAGTATTCTTGCCTGGGAAGTCTCATGGACAGAGGACCCTGGTGGGCTAAAGTCCATGGGGTCGCAACAAGTCAGAAGTGAGTTAGCAACTAAACAACAACAGTCTGCTGAGTACATCTCGTAGGAGAAACCAGAGACATGTGGTCCCTCAAGGAGATTACAGTACTCTTATAGCCAAGACCAACTCATAAGTGTAAGGTGGGCAGTATAAGATGATATATAATCATAAACTTATTGTGTAACAATAAACCAGAAAAATTAAATCCCAATGGCTTCATGAATCATTGAAAGACAAATTGGGTCTTAAAAGATGAGCTCAGTGTTAGGAAACAGAAAGTATTAGGGTGTGCATTTCTGACTGAAAGGAGAACTTCTACAAAGGTAAAGCAATCCTCTTTGAGTTCTTTTAAGAATCTCTTAGACCCCAGATATGTGGAGAGGTAGAAATAATAGTCATTACCAGCCTTGTACAAGTCTGACCATGATTTTTGTGGCTGTCCATGGTCTACAGTAGGGGTCTTCAATTTTTTTCTAGTATTTTTCCTAATAGAATTTTGAAAAACTATGTATACTCCCATATTTGTAAAGATATATATTTAAATTTTTTGCCACAAGTTTAGAGTTGTGTAATGTAAACATGAATGTACTAGGGAAGAAATCTTGTACTCTATTACAAGTTAATCACTAAAGGGCTGTTACCTATAAGCTTAAACTATATATAATGACCCATCT